CGACCAGTGGTGGGGGAAGGGGGGCAGTGCTGCATAAATGGCAAGCAGAGGCAGTGGTGGGGGCGGGGCCAGCTGCCAGCAGCTGGGGGGAAGGAAAGCCCCGATAGGCCCTGATCACCGGCCAGGCCTAGGGACCCTACCCAAGGGGTCCTGGATTGCAAGAGGGCTCAGGCCAAGCTGAGGGACACCCCCACCCCCCACCCCATGCATGAATTTCATGCACTGGGCTTCTAGTAATAGAAGTTAATAATATTGTATTGCATACTAAAAATGTGCTAAGTTGATTTTAAGTGTTCTCACCACACACAAAATGTTAACTGAGGTGATAAAGACGTAATTAGATTGATTATGATAATCATTATACAATGTATATGTATATTAAAACATCATGTTGTATACCTTCAATATATACAATTTTTATTTGTCAATTATACCTCAACACAGCTGGGGAAAGGAAAAAGAGGGAAAAAGTGGTCTTTTCACACTTCCACTCCCCACTCATTTTACACCTGTCAGATGAGGGGTGATTGCCCTTCTCTAGCTCAATAAAATTTATTCCTTTTTACTGAAATAAGATGCAACTTGCAGGAACCAGGAGACAGAGTCTGTTCAAAGTGGTTTTCACACTTTTGTCCCCATCACATCCGTCCAAGTCTTGGAGAGAGGACTTCCCCACAGCTGCTGCCCTGGGCCTGAGTAAGCTCTCCACGCCTGCTGAGCTCTCACCTCTCACTGCTTACTCAGTGACAGAAGATTTTCGAGGTTACTTTTCACACAGTCTGAAACCAAGCCCTCATAGGGAATGCTAAGTAATGGTCTCTAGCAAGGAAGGACAGGAGAATTCTAATTCCATTATTATTTCCCTCAAGGCACAAGTTATGTTCCCGTGGTGAAATCCAGGTACAACTTCCTCTAGCTTTATTTGGAAATGAAAGATTTTTCCCTAACCCCTTAAAAAAAACTGTAAGCAATATTCTTGAACAAGGGATCCTGGGTAAAGAATTTGTAGACTTAATTTATCCTACCTCAGTGCCACCTAAAAATGGTGCAAAATTACAATGGCTAAATATTTATTACTTTAGAATAATGTCAGCAATTCCCACAAAAAAGACACATCATGATATGGTAGTGCCTGGGCCCTCAGGCATATTTGGGATATTCTTGGGTAATCTTATAATATGACCTGTCACCAGTGGAGTGCCAACCTTTCTGGCACAAGCAGGAGTTAGAGGCTGGGGTAGAAAAGTAGACTTGCCATCAGATCTTGATGGGGCACAGCTCCATGGGCATCATAGGCCTCAGCAAGCTTTCTGTGTGTGGGAAGATGTGCTGGATGAAACACAAGTGATCGAGTACTGTAGCCACCTTAATAAATCACTAGAACCAACCACCTAGATATAAAACAAAGCCCTCAGCCCTAGCCAGTTTTGCTCAGTGGATAGAGTGTTGGCCTTTTGATTTAAATGGTCGAGGGTTCAATTCTGGTCAAGGGCATGTACCTCAGTTGCGGCTCTGTCCCTGGCCCCTGTCAGGGCACATGCCGAGGCAACCAATTGAAGTGTCTCTCTCACATTGATGTTTCTCTGTCTCTCTCTTACACCTCCCTCCCCTTGCCCCCGCTCCATTCTCTCTAAAAAAATCAATGGGAAAAAATATCCTCAGGTGATGATTAACAAAAACAAAAACCCTCATTTCATTACTAATAATGTTGCATAGTTTTGGTCATCTGTGTGTAAAGTCATCTTCAGAGATTTAACCCATAAATAGTTTTAAATCACTGTAAGTGAGCAGCAATGATGTTGGAGACTTATTTCCCATCGTGAGAAATATTTGTGGGTTACTTAGTGCAAAATAACAGACGTATAAAATGATGTATCTCTACTAGGCATTTCCAAAGTGCAACACATCATCACATACTCTAACTGAAGAAATAGACATTTGCCTGAAACTTGCAACACAAATGCCATTTTTCTAAATTTGATAACGGTTTTTATCTTGGTGCATGGGGTGGGAGAATGGGGAGTGGCTTAGAACCTTTACTTTCTATGCTCTGTAGTTCTGTAATGTTTCATGTTTTCATAAGGACCGTGTATCACTTTTATAATTAAGCAGTTATAGTAAAAATTATTTCATAAATACTAAGTTCAATAAAATTTTTAAATATATATGTATGTTGTTCTGCATCAGCGATTTTCAACAGGTGCCACAAGAATTTTTAAAACATGCAATACCTGACTATTAAGTCAGGGGTACTGACCTCTTTTCCCTTCGATTGACAAATTTTAAAAAATAACAACAGCCAATACAACAATAGCTGTCAACAATTATACCCATTTTTTGTAAGATCAGCAAAAAAATATATATATTTTTTGGTGTGCCACAGAATTTTGGTAATTAGCTATATATTACATGAGATGAAAAGTGTTGAAGATAGCTGCTCTACATTACTGATGCTGAATCAACCCTTATTTCAAAACAAGACAGAGAATTGTTTTTAAAAAGAAACCAATTTTGATCAACTCAGTGCCTGTCCCTATAGGGGAAACAAGATGGTATGATTAGCTTGCTCCAAAAATGCTTTCTTCTTAAAAATTCCATTGGGTTTCTCATTCTATGACCCACTGCTTAATGAGCCAATTTAGTTGGCCTATCCCCAAGGTTCACTCACAACTCTTCCTAAATAACCTCAAAGTCCTTTTGCTGGAGCAGGTGTTATTTTCCAAGCAGCTCTCACCAAAGGCCAATATGATAATTAATAACCTTCAGATTCGAAGACTTTAGGCCCTAAAGTTTAGGGTCTCATGTCTGACAAAGCGTACATATGCCACATGCACAGTAATGTTTCTGAAACTTGCTGTTTTATGAGGAGATTTGGACATCATAATAAAAGAACTCAGCAAAGTTTTAAATAGTTCTTTTTCTCTGCTAGTAAGAACAACCCTTGAGGGCTTAGAGATAGTCACTTCTTGCAGCCAAGGTCTGTTTTCTGTGAAATTGTAAAGTTGTGTTTTCAGGGTCCTCTCTTTCATTTCAGATCCTTCACATGTTACCAGGTAGCTGAAGTCAGCTACACTGGTAAGTCAGCTATACAAGGCAGATTGGTAATTCAACCTGCAAATTTAGTATTGAAACTGACTCTTAAATCTGCAGTGTTCAAGACTTGGAAAGGAATGGCATTCCATAATAGCTAATGCAGACAATATGAGTTCTCAATGTTCTCCAGGTTTACTTTGGTTTGGAGAAGAGATGTTCTTCAATTGTCTAAATTTAACAAATAGACGTTTTAGATGAAGTGCCTAAATGTTCAGAAATACGCTCCGAGCTTCTTGCTCTGGTTTGCTCCACAATACCTCTAACATGTCTGCTTTGATATTTTAGGAATTTGTGATGATTGTCGTCTTTGGTTTGGAGTTCATCATTCGAATCTGGTCTGCAGGTTGCTGTTGTCGGTACAGAGGATGGCAAGGAAGACTGAGGTTTGCCCGAAAGCCCTTCTGTGTTATAGGTAAATATCAAAGTCCAGACACCTGGACTTCTGCATCCTTTTCTTCTGCCTACTGCATTGCCACATTTAATTTATATTAAAATTAATATTTGTGGAGTATTTATCATGTCAGGCACGCTTGTGTTTTTCAAAGTGTTGACTCATTTAATCCTCACCACAACACTGTGTGGTAGGTATTTTTATTATCCCCATTTTACAGATGAAGAAACTGAGGCAAAGAAAAGTGAAATAAGCTACTAAAAGTCATATCAGTAGTAAGTGGTGGAGCTGGGATTTGAGCCAGAAGGTCTGGCTCTAGAACACCCACTTGTATCAATTACGTTACACTGAACTATATGGTTCTCAGTGTTGACCTGAATTAGGGAAGCATTAATTTCAGCAAATATAAAAAACACTTTTCTCCCCTATAATATAAGCAATATCCCTTTTTGCTTCTAATTAACTGGAATGGATAGACATGTATTAGACTTGGTAATGCATGTCAATTAGTGTGCCTCAAGTTTGTTTTACTTTATGCACTGGTAACTTCAGACAGGATTAAGTGTTTTATACTCTGAAATATGAGTCACCTTCCCTGCAGTCCCTAAGTAAGAATCACATCTCTGCATCCCCCTAGACGCTGTGGTTTTCAGAGGGATTCCATTCACCTAGGTTCCAATTTCAAATTATACTTATTAATGAAGACGTCACATAGCATTCTAGGGTTAAGATCTGGGATCTTCTAGTAATATATTTAAAAGTATATCATAAAATTGGAAACTCTAGTAAATTATATCTCAAAAAATAATTTAAAAAAGAGTAAATTGCCTACATCCAAGTCCTTTTTCCCTAAATATTGCAATGTATCCTAAGGATAAAGATATTCAGTAAATTTAACATTGATACAACACTTTATCTAATCTCCTGGTTGTATTCCAGTTTTGTCAGCTGATCCAATAATGTCCTCTACAGCATTTTTTCCTCCTCAGTACATGATCCAGTCTGCATTTAGATCACATACTGCATTTAGTTGCCATGTCTCTTTAGTCACCTTTAATCTAGAACAATTCCTCAGACCTTCTTTGCTGCATGACATTGACATTTTAGAAGAACATAGCTTCAGCCCCACCCCCTTTTTAAAAAGTAGAATGTTCTTCCTTTTGAGCAGAAAAACCCTACATCTATAAGCTATATTGTTATGGTTGTTGTTGTTATTTAATAGCTAAATCTGGTTTCTTGCTCTTTTTGCCTTCTCACTTCTTTGGCAGCCATTCAAATCCAAATACTGAAAGTTCTTGGGGAGGCTTACTTATTATTTCAACCATTTCCACTCTCAGAAAGTGGATTTTTAATCTACAAAGTGATTTAGACTATCTTCTTCATCCACGAGGGGTTTTCATTTTGTTTTAGAAGTCAGGATTGTTGAGCAATCTTCTTAGTCTCCTCCTTTACCCCTGTTCCCTGAGGCAGGGGCAGGGTGAATGTAAGGAGGCACTGGAGAAGGTCTCCCCATCCATGGGCCCTGTTAAGAACCATCTTTCATTCCACCCTTTGCGAAGGAAGAGCACTGTCGTGGCGATGGAAGAATGGGTGGGCTCCCCACACTCTGCCACTGAGGCACTTTCATAGTATACACACTTCAAAAGAGTCACCATTTATTCAGTCAAACTTTATAGCAATTTGGTGGTGTGTGAAGCACTGGAGTGACAATAGTGAAATTCTAACTTAACACAGTCTTAAAATGTCTTGTTTGGCCTCTGCTAATGAATTTTTATTTGTCCAACTGCCTCTCTTCTGCAAGAGTGGGCTTTTCTCCGCTTTGGAAACCATTGCTCAGGTAGAGAGGAAAATAGGTAGGAACTCCCAGCCTTGCAGGCCCGTCCAGCCCCAAAACATATCAGTAAAGGCTTTTGATTTTTCTCCCTGGAGATTTTTCTCTCTTTTGGAATTCTCCGCTCAAGCAACATCACAGAAGGCTGTAACTTGATGTGAAACTATTGCACGAGTACTTTCTGTCCTTTAAAGGACCAAACAAAACAATTTACAAGGCAAATGGTTAGCCAAGACTCACTCAGCTTCTACGGGATGAGATTGGTTCACGGATGGCTGCAGGAATGTTCCACTCCAGGCTTTAGAACCAATTACAAATTGGTTTTGTTCCAGTTCCAGAGGCAATGCCAATGTATTTCCGGCCCGCAAGCTGAAAAGAAAGCTCTTTCCCAGATGCCTGCTGCCTTTTGATAGCTGTTCTCAACTCTGGATGCATCAGCCCCTCTTAGTGCTTAAATCGTTCTCTCCCTGTAGCAGATCCTTGGGGTTTGGATGTGGCATATGGTTCTAAAAATGATGTTATGTTGTATGTAATTTTAGACACCTTTGACCTGAAAATAGTGACCTTAAAAATTTAGTATAACATGGCTTAGGCATAGTTTCAAGTTTAGTTAACTCTTTAAGCCTTTTCTTTATTTGGGTGTTTTTGTAAATTAATCACTTAGGGAGAAAATTTCATGGATAAGTATATAATGAGTCCCTATTAGAACAAAGACAATATTTGTACTTACATTTAGGGTAACTAGGCATTTTTCATTCTTTTATTTAAAGTGCATGTAACAGCTTGACCCATGGCCCAGCTGAACTGAGGTAATAGTGAAACATGTTTAAATGTGGCTCGTTAGTATGAGATCAATACAATTTTAACTTACACAGAGGAACCAAATGTCACCTGCCTGAAGGCAGCAGGCTGTACCAGATGAGAAAACCCCTTCTGGGCCAGTTTAATAGCTCCATAAAAATGATTGATGTCACTGGTAAAATGATAAAGTATAATGTAAACTGAACCTTGTAGTTCCCGTGTTCAACATAATTTACTGTGGTGAAATGGAACAAGGAGTAATATCTCTCTCATCTGTCCATGGTAACTGCTCTGAGTTTGAAAATGTAGCTAAAATTTCTCAGGTCTCGCCGAAACCGGTTTGGCTCAGTGGATAGAGCATCGGCTTGCGGACTGAAAGGTCCCAGGTTTGATTCCAGTCAAGGGCATGTACCTGGGTTGCGGGATGTGCAGGAGGCGGCTGATCGATGTTTCTCTCTCATCGATGTTTCTGACTCTCTATCTCTCTCCCTTCCTCTCTGTAAAAAATCAGTAAAATATATTTTGAAAAAAATTTCTCAGGTCTCCATGTGTTTGTATTACTTGATTACTCTGAACATGCCAAATACACACCCAAATGTTTTTAGAAGTCTTAAGCATTAAAGGAAAAGATATAGATAAGATTGTGATAAGTTGGCTGTACTTTCAATGTGAAAAATGCTTTCTGTAAGCACACCAATATTATTCTTTCCGATTGGAAAGAGATGAAAGCTACTTGAGTGGGCATCTAGTAACCTTTCTATAGTATTGAGTCCTATAGACTAAATGATAGTATTTGGACACAATTTGATAGAAGTCGCACAGGCTAATTCCCAAAGACTTTAGAACTCCCCCTCCTGAACTGCCCAGCCTCTTACTCCTGCACTCTAACCAGGATCAGGAGCATTTAAAAAACTTGTTGATTTAAGAAATCAGAAAATCATTGTATACTTGTGTGTTGGGAAGACATTTTAAACAACAGTTGCTTACCTAGGGGAAGAGAAAAGTCTATTAATTTTTTTTATTAGGTGCTGTCTTTCATTACTGTAATTATCTCTGCTTGATTTGGGGAGTTTCCTTTGAAAACTGGTAAAATTTATTTTTTATTACAAAATTATTCCTTAGTCCTATATATTTAATTTACATCTCTCCTCCAAGACTCGATTGAAATAACATTTCTGTAACTATGGGCAATAATCATTGCCTTACCAATTTGTAGGGTCAAGTATATTTTAGGATGACAATCCAGGTTGCCCTATACAATATCTCTACATTCAAGCACAAATCACTCATTCAATGACCTCAATATTGAGAATGTGTGAAATAATTCAAAGACTGACTTTGTAGTCATTCTTTTTTCAAGCTTTTATTAATGACCTACCTGAAAATTGCAAATAGTACCAAAGGATGGTACTTAGATCAGGATAATGAGCCTGATGTGTCAGGAAACCAATAAATTACTTCCAACAGTGGCTTGTTTGGATTCCCTGGTGATTTTAAAGACAGGTATAATAGGGCCATATTTTTCAGTCTTGCAATGCATCTTAAAGAAACAGAAAATACCAGCCTGTTATTAATCTTGGATCTGTACTTGATGCTAAATTTAAGTTGATTTCATAATGCAGTTTTAACAGTTTTCCTTCAGTGTAATATTTCCACGAGAGGACAAAGAGACAAACCACAGCACAGATCTTTCCCCCACGAACTGAGCACATGTGCCTTTGACATGAGATAACGGTCTCTCAGGAAAATGCCAACAAGTGAATTTTTTAATAAGAAGAAAATAACCAGCCTCTTACCTGGCTAAAACAAAATAGAAGCCTTTATTAAAATCAACCACACAGCCAAGGCCACTCTAATATATCTGCGAGTTCATCCTATTAAAAGGCAACTTCAGCTGCTAATGTGTTCAAAAGTTAAATCAGCGATTCCCAGAACTGCCACTGCCCTCTCAACTGAAGATCTGAGACATGATTCTTCATCACCATCAACAGGCATGCAGCATTTTTTTTGTTTTATTTTTTGCTTCTTTGCCTTCTCCATCTTCAGTTCTATGAAACATAGAATTTTGTTCTAAACCTTTGAATTGCATCATTTTATATACCTTCTAATCTTTTCTCTCTTTTGGTAGAAATTATATCCTCTCTTATTTCCTATCTTCTTCTGTTTCTCTTTACTTCTAAGTCTTCAAACTACTTCACATATAGATTTATTCCATATGATTCATTGGACCATCTGAGGACAATTAAACCCTGTTGGATTGATTTATCACAAAAAGCCATTAAAGTCTTCTCAATCTCTTTAGTTATTGATGGCTGATATTTATTAAGACCTGCTCTATGCTAGGTACTGCTCTGAGCACTCTATAAATATTATATCCCATTTTGTATGA